AAGGCCGGGGCTGTCCGAGGAGGAAACGGGCCTCGGCTTTTCGCGGAGCTGGTGCCAAAGCGCCTCCCGGGCGCGGGCGCCGCCACTGCTCCACCCCCGGCCTAGCGGTTAGGGTAACTAGGGGTCCGAGACGGAGAAAAGCTGCCAATACATTCTCGTAGAGATGGACTCTTCGTCATCAAATGACTGTGCATGGGTTGATTTCCTCATCTCAAAGGTTGTAATCTTGGAAACTCAGTTTGATGACTCACACATTTCTGAAGAAATTTATTATTCTGAGTTAATTAGGTTTATCTATTTTTGGAAGACAAAGATCTATGTAACTACTTGCGAAATTATTGTTTTACCATCGGGCTTTTTTGTAAAATTGCACCTGAAGGGCAAAACAATTTTTCCATACACACTACACAATTTTTCCATACACAATATGCTGTTCAGTAGAAACGCATCTTTCTTATTTCGTATTGAAAATGACATTTGGTATCTATAATTCTTGTTGTTTTGCCTATTTGCAGTGGATCTGGCTTCAGGATGTGGGGATAGCCCTTTCCCACCTCTTTGCTAATTCCCTTTCCTTTACCCATTGTCTTAAAGACCTGATCTTTTTTTTAACAAAAAATTTGTTACCAAAATACAGTATTAAAGTCGATACATGACAAACTCCTATAAAGCAAAATAAATTATTCTACCATTGCACAGCATTTNTAACAAAAAATTTGTTACCAAAATACAGTATTAAAGTCAATACACGACAAACTCCTATAAAGCAAAATAAATTATTCTACCATTGCACAGCATTTCCTAGGGCAGTTGAAGCGGGCAGCCCTGGCCCTGTGGAGCAGGTGAGCTGTCTGCCATGGACGGGGCCTGGGGTTCAGGCGTTAAGGCGTCTGCTTGCTGTGCAGTTTGAGTTTGCTGTTCAAGGACATGCATTGTTTTAAGACCCGGTCTTAATTATTCCTTAGTCAGCAACAGCAGGAGAGACGTGAAGAGAAACACACAAAGAGAGAATTTTTTTTCCACCATTGACAGCACTCCATTGTATTACAATACCACAGTTTATCCTTTTGGGTTGTTCATAGTTTGGGGGTATTCTGACAGTAGCCAAACATTCGAACATTAGGGTGCATGTCATGTCTTTCTTTTCTTTTAAACTTCATCTGAGGGTATGTTTAGAAAGAGGAAGAGAGGGAGGGAGGGAAGGAGAGAGAGAGAGAAATATCTATATGTGAGCGAGAAACATTGCTAAATTGCCTCCAGTACTCCCCCCAACGCCGGATCAAACCCGAAACCTAGGTATGTGCCCCGACTGGAATCGAAGTAAAAAACTTTGGGTGTATGGGATGACGCTCCAACCAACTGAGCCGCCCAGCCAAAGCAGGGTGCAAGTCTTTCGATGGACTTACGCACTCATTCCCGTTGGCAATATCTCCAAGATTGGAAGTGCTCAGTCAAAGGGGATTCTGGTTTTACTAGGAACTGCCAGAAAGTTTTCTAAAGTAGCTCAATTTACACACCAACTAGCAATGTGAGATTTCCAGTTGTTCTACATTTTTGCCAACATAGCCATTCTGGTGAGGTTGTGCTAATTTCTCACTGTGATTTTAAGTTTGCATTTCCTTGATAGTTACTGTCGTCGAGCAATTTTTTGGCCATTTGGATATCTTCTTCAGTGAAGTATCTATTCAAGTGTTTTGCCCAAGAAGGGTTGACAGTCTTTTCTTATTTATAGGAAGTTTTTAATAGTCTGGATATGAGCCCACTGCCAGATATATGTGTTGCAAATATTTTGTCTGTAGCTTGCTTGATGCTCAGAAATTCTTAATTTTAATGAAGCCCAATTAAGTTTCTTTTATGTGCCATGTTTGCTTTTTTTGCCTACACAGACTCATGGAGATATTCTCACATTTATGTCCATGATTCAGCTCAGAATAATTTTTTAAAGCTCATTTCATTTTTTCCATATGATTTTTCACTTGACCTAGCTCTATCTATTGGTAAGAACACTGAACATTTCTAACCCACTGAATTGCAGTGGCCTTAAAAAAAATCCGGTGACTGTTCCTGCTTAATACTTTATAAAAGCATTTTCCACAGGACCTAACAATACAGTAATTTTTTTTTAGGTTTCTCCAGCTTTATTGAGATATAATTGACATACTGCACATATTTAAAATGTACAAATGTACAAGGTGATGAAGTTTGATATGTGTGCTCTTTGTGTATTTTTTTAAAAATTCCAAAATAAAACAATAGAATTATTTTCATTTTGGGTTTAAGATGTTAATTTAAGTTTAGAAACTTCTTTGCTTATTTTTTGCATTACCCAAAACTAAATAAATTTTATTGTGTTGAAATTCATCATCTCTTTTTCAACCTTATGATCAGTGACTATATTTTGAATAGATAGTCTTAAAGTTTAATATTTACTTGGAAATAGTTTTCTAATTGTTGTCACTTAAATATGCATAATTGGTATATATTCTATACAACCTTTATTAATTCTCCCAATCATCCTTAAATTTAAAAAAATCACAGAAACAACATGTGTAATAGAGAAAAAAACAAAGAAGCAAAAAGATCACAAATACCCATAATTCCAGAGATATAATTTTTCAAGTTTTTGGAACAATGAAGAATATTTTCCACAAGGAGATTTACCAGATAAAGGTGTCTTCAGTCTAAATTTCATTGACTCCCAATTAAGAAACCTTAGCCAGGCAAGTATACGTGGGAAGGGGGGGAACCTTTCATATTTACAAAGCAGTTCTCGTATTGTGTTTAGTTTCACATGTTTGTGGTTTCTTTTACCTTTATTGATTTTTATGATCAGTTTTGGTATTTTCGCAGTATAACTATATTTAATAGCATGGAAATGAAGACAGATCAGAAATCCAATTCCAGCTCTAATGTCTAGGTTTCCTCATCTGTAAATTGAAGATAAATTTTTTTTATTTTTACCTCCTGAGGTTATCATAAAGATTAAATTAGTTACTTGGTCTGAAGTGCTTGTCACAATGACTGACACTTAAGATTACAATGTATGGTAGTCATTAATATTAATGGCTATTTTCATGTGGGCTTCTAAGAACAGAATCTCAATATATAGTTTGTGTATGTAGGAAACAAGGTTTGAGTTGACATATCTCAATTTATGGCTATTCTGTAGAGCAGCAATTTTGAACCAGTGTGCTTCAAGAATTTTTAAAACATGCCATACCTGACTATTTCATCAGGGGCCCTGACCTCTCTTCCCTTAGACTGTAAAAAAAAAAAAAAAAAAGGAAAACAGCCAACACAATGATAGCCATCTGGTGTGAATGAATCAAGATTATACCTATTTTTTTTGTCAGATTGGCAAAAAATATATTTTTGGTGTGCCACAGAATTTTAGTAATTAGTTTATGTGTGCCATGAGATGGGAAAGGTTAAAAATTGCTGCTCTAGAGACACTAGGTTAGAAACTATTGTTTTCTCTTTGTTAGCTATTTCTAGTTTTTCATCCCTTAATTTCTGTGAACCTCAGTTTTGCATCCTTAAAACACACACTAATACTGACTGCCTCATCAGATTGTAAACTGGCACTACAAGACAAATGTGTTAATTATTACCATTGGCTCCTCCACTTCATTTAACTGTAAAATTTTACCAAGTGAAACATCATTTTGTGATTAGCTGTTGTTACTCCTTCAGGTTTTACATTCCTTTCTTCTGTCCAATGAGCACATACCCTGCATATTGCTAGGCATTACGGGAGTTCCAAAATGTATAAAATATTGATTCTGCCTGCAAAGGCCTTACAAATTAGTTGAAATTTATTGAACAATTTTTATCACCTTGTTAGTCCATGTATTTAAACTCTACTTGCTCCTTTTTACCATTCTAAAATTCAATATTACTGTTCTCACTGACCATTTACTTGCTCAATAGTCACTGTTTAAAGTTGCCAAGCTACTAGCTTTTATCTGATAATTTAGAATACACATATATTTCACTTAAAGTAAAGCTGATAAAAACATTCAATAAAATTAAGAGGGAGCTAATTGGAATATCAAATTATATCAGTGTTCCACGACAGCACTTTCTGTGGTTCCACTTGGTTAAACTTTCTATGAGTCTGATGATTTGGAAAAGAGTTACCGAACAGAATTAGAAGCCAAGAACAATATTAGGTTGATCCTAGTGGTTGTATGTTCCTAATAAATAACGATAGAGTTTTGACTTTTATAGAAGAATGAAATAGTGACTGTGATCACAGCTATTTGAAACTGGAAAAATGTTATTCATCAATAAGTTATTTTGTTTAAA